CGAATTCTGGTAGAACACAAGATCTATGAAATCAACTATCTTGCATTTTCAAGTAAGTTGAGGCTTTGAAATGCTTCAATTGACTTGTTGGTTTTGAATTCACTTCTAATATTAGGTGCAAGTGGGATTTTACCTTGTCTACATACAATTTCTATAAATTTATTTCATGAATTACTTTTGGCTTTAACTGATGATTTATTTGCACACTATTTGGTGAAATAGACTTGAATATTGGACTTCTTTTGATATCAATTTAGATTATAGTATGTTGGGATTTTGGTGTTTGAAGAGTATCATGAACATAATGTGCTTATTCTTTTGATGGAAGCATCTATGTGTTGGATTAGACCTTTTTCTTATTCATCATTATGTCTGACATTGCAGTTGAGGAACTTGGTTTGGTCTACATCAAAGCATGGTGTTTACCTCATGTCACATTACTCAATTATTCACTGGTCTTCATTAAGTTCCAAGAAGACAGAAGTTCTTAATGTTTCTGGCCATGTGGCCCCATGTGAGGTGCATATTTCTAATGAGGATTGGCTTTCAGTCATTTAGGTTCATGAGTTTTATGGTTCTTCTCTGGCAATGATAATATATGGAGTTTGAAATGTGGATATACTTTCTTTTTCTGACAGAAACACCCAGGAAGTTTACTGGAGGGATTTACTCAGACTCAAGTTAGTACTCTGGCGGTGCACAACAATTTATTGATTAGACCTTGATTTCAAGGGGAGCTTATTTGCAAGGTAATTCTGTCTCTTGAAGAATACTGCCGTTTGTGGAAATATCTGAGCTTTTTTTATTTGTTTCAACCTTAGCTTTTGTTTTTAGTTTCTTCAAATATGTGTTTATGAGATCAGCTAGAAATGCCTCCATACTAAGGATTTGTTGCCTAATTACTTTAAACACAACAATTTCTCCAGCTTCGTTCGCCAGCTTAATACTTTTCTTATTTATATTTTTTTTGTGGATTTGTTGTCATAGGGAAGATTGAAGAATAGGATGGCGAGCCATTTGCAGCAGGGGCAGAAGTTTAATTGCAAGCCATCGAAGAGGGTGAACTTAAGAAGTATATGCATTTAACCTTATTGATGTGAAATAGTAATACATACAACTGATAGCTTAATGATATTCGTTAAACGCACCTTAATCCTTGTAAATTTAAGCTTAGAATTTCTGGAACTTTTTTATTTTTTTGAATATTATTTCTTTACCGGTTAAAAAATATTATTTCTTTACCAGTTAAAAGAACCTAAGTCCAAATGACCGTTTAATTCATTTTTGCCATTTCATCAAATATTTGTAATACAACCCGTTCCAATCCCGGTTTCATATATGGAATTTCAAGTCTATTTTCGATTATCAATTTGGAATGCTTTTTCTAATGCCATAGCATACATACATTATACATTGTAAGAAAGATTAACTGATAAAATAATCAATTCATACAATTATACAAACATTAGAGTCAAAAAATAACTTAAAATCACTCCACGCTATTAAATACCCAACTAAATTGCAGCACGTGCATCGCACGTACGTTCACTAGTATATATATATACTTTGCCCCTATTTGATATAGATTAAAATTATATTTTAATCTAAATGAAAGACAAACAATCAATATTAAACAAATATTTCATTGGTTCTACAACTTTTCAATCACACATTTCATAAACTTTTTTCAAAATCTGCTAAAAATCTAATTTTAATCCCTTGTGCTTTATAACTTATCGAGTTAAAAAAAGATTTATCCAATCAATTTTTTTTTAAAATTATTTACTAAACCCTTATTTGTAGGGCTGTCCATGGGTCTGTTCGGTTCGGTTCTAAAGAGAACCGAATTGACCCAAAACTTTCGAGTATTTAATAATTGGAACCGTCGGGTCCAAATATAATTATGTAACCGTTCGGGTTCGGTTAGATTTAGTTTGGTTCCGTACCATAATTAAATTTTTTAATATTTACAGTAACACTACATAAATACAACTAATGACATTTCATTCGTAACTTTTACAAATTAACGTAACCCAATTTAAAAACATAATCTGATTTATTTAATTAATTTGCTAATTTGTTTAGAAAAAAATAAAATAATTTAATTAATTCAATATAAAAAATGAAAAAATTTATTTAGTTTTGGTTCTTATTCGGTTCATCGGTTCTTGATCTAGACCNAATTAAAATGGGCTAATGGATTTTAAAAATGATTTGGGTTTTAAAATTAAAATTATGAAATAATCTGATTTATTTAATTAATTTGCTAATTTGTTAAAAATAAAATAAAATAATTTAATTAATTCAATATAAAAAAGAAAAAAATTATTTCGTTTCGGTTTTTATTCGATTCTTCGGTTCTTGGTCTAGACCCGAGACCCGACCCAAACCCATCAGTTTTCGATTCGGGTACCCGTTCGGGTATTTAACTTATGAAACACCGCTTGGTTTAGTTTGGATCCGGTTCGGTTTGGAACTTTTGGACACCCCTACTTATTTGGTTCCTATTATTTACAAAATACATTTTCATTTTATCTTATTTTGATTGCACGTTCTTTAATAAAATAATATTGCATACAAATTCAAAATTTTTCATTTTCTTTTAACTACACATTTTTAATCAAAATACTATTCTAAAGTGTATTTTGGGTTCCAAAATGGGGCTCAAACAGTTACTACATAGAATTATTCAAGATTCAATTTGTGAAAATTATCCCAGTGAAAACAACACAAGTTCAACTGCAAAAATTTCAGGTGCATTAAATTGTATTATAATTTAAAAAATTACTTATAAGTAAAAAATCAATTTTATGTAAAATATTTTGTTTATAAAAAAACTTTCAAGTATAGGTTAGACTGTTTTAGAACTCGCTACTAAAATACTCAAAATCGATACGCTCATAAACGTTCATAACCGGTACCCAAAACTCCCGGGCTGGCCCTTAGTGTTATATTATCTTTGATTAATTTATTGTTTGGATGCTTAAGATGGTCTTCTTTTCCCACTTATGTTATTTGTTGCTGGAAAATTTGCAATTATGTAAAATCAATAAAATAAGGTTGATAAACATACACACGATGAATTAGGCTGAAGCATGTGGACTTCTTTCTCATGATGTAATCCTGCTGGTTTTGCGTAGCTGAAAGCTCTACTAAAAAAAAAAAAAAACACATTGGTTTGGCTAATAATGTTCATTTAATGTGTGAAGAATTAATCATACAAGGGCGGAAGAATATGAATAATACCGTAGTGTATGTAGACTTATCGAGGTAATGTAGATTTATGTATATAGAAAATGTATAGTATGTAAAATTATTGTTTTTTCTTAATTTCACCCGGCCCTAAACGAGACTCAAACTCGGATCATAGGGTAAGACTTCACTCTTACCACTTGAACTGGGCCTTGATCTATTTGAATAACGGTGAAAATACATATGTTCATTTGGTATGTATTATATTGAGCTGTAGATTCATTTGGTAATTTTATTTTGTTAAATAAAAAATTTATCTGCAGCATGAGAAAGGTCGGCCATTGCCGAAATTTGGGGAATGGGACGTAAATAACCCTGCCTCCGCTGATGGATTTACAGTCATATTTGCCAAGGCTAGAGATGAAAAGAAAGCCACGGGTACTTTTGCAATTGTCGCACCATCACAGACTGTATCTCAACCAAGCGATTCTTACGAGTATTCTGAAACGGTATCGATTTTACTGAACCCTCATCTACGTGATTGGTATGCTTGACTGAACACGAGAATGGGACAACTATGTTCTTAGTCTTGGGGGAAATTGATGCATCGGTCCCCAACCTATTGCTAGAATAGAAAGTTGTTCTCCAACTTTTAAAAATAAGCAAGTTAATTAATCCTGAACCTTTCACTATGCTT